GTGTATGTGTTATATTTCATACTTTATCATATGGCCTGGGGCATTGCCTAAGGGAGAACAGGACATATAATGCTCTGATTTGCTTTTGTACAAAAGGAGCAATATTTAATGCATAAATAATTTGCCTGCTATCCAGGAAAGATGTCACAAACTGAAGAATTTTAACCTCTTGCTGCTGCTGTGAACTTGCAGGTGCCTTCACTCTAGTTTACATGATCAGTCTCCTCATGTCAACCACTCAGATTATCACATGGCGCTCTGCCAGCGTGACTGGATTGAAGTATGACACACAGAAGGGAAGCACAGATGCAATGGGAGAAGCAGCTTTGTATATAATAACTTAAAATTTCTATTTTGTAAGAAAAAGATTTGCAAAATTAAAGAAAATCCTGTCTTTAGCCCTCCAAACCACATTCCATCTTTGACACAGTGTATCACACCTAATTTAAAAAATGGACTCGAATTTACAAAATCATACAACTACAGGTTCAATATACCAATCAAAAAGAGTATAATGCATCACTGAATGCACAAAAAACATTAAAATCATGTTCTGAACGCAACTGATACAAAAAGAAATCAGACTGCTTTGTTGGTGCAACAGAGAGAGTGCAACACACTGGCCTAAACACACACTGACACACTAGTCTAAAGTAGGCCCAAGAAGTAAGCCCAAATCTGGTATACTCCCTGGAACAGAGGCCAAGCACACCTCAAGTTCTCCCAAAAGCAATCTGAGTGACACAAAGAGCCTACTTATCCATGCCAATGTTTATAATAATGTATTAATTCATATGATAAACAAAGCAAAAACGTTACTTTTATTACCCTTCACCACTAACTACAACAATAAGATGGTTAATTAAGGTGGAGATGACTATCAGTATGCAAGAAAGATAGTAATTATGATGATAATTATACCATAAGAACAAGTAGAATTACGATATCCAAAAAATGAATCCAATACTAATCATTAGTATGGATAAATATACAATTCATGGAATTACTGCTATTGTCGCTGTCTGATGATAACAGTAACTGCTTTCATTACTATTATAATAATAATAATAATAATAATAATAATAATAATAATAATAATGACAATAATTATAATTGCAATAATAATAACAATAATAACAACTAAAATGATAATACCAATAATAATAAAAATCATAAAAAAATAAAAATAATAATAAAAATCATAACAAAAATAATGACAATAATAATAATAATAATAATAATAATAATAATAATAAAAAAAAAATAACAATAATAATAATCATCATCATCTTAAAGATAACAAAAACAAAAACAAAATCAAATAACAATGACATAAGAATAATAAGTGATAATAATAATAATAAAAATAAATACTAATAAAAATAATAATAACAAATCGAACAAAAGCCACCCATGAACGCAACCACGATGGAAAATTCCCCCTCCCTCCCCCCCTTATCACCTCATCCATCGCAATCGAACGTACGAACCCCGATCCCGCGAACTATCAAGGCACACCTGTCGCAACTGGAAACCCGCAGCTGGACTTACCCGTGTGGGCGATGTCTTCCTTCAGCTTCAGGATGTGTGGTATAGACCGACGTGCTCTTGTGGATACCTCTGTGTCTGCCACTTTCGTCAATGGACCGTGTTCCTCGCAATCTCCTTCATGTCCTTTCTGACAATCCTCACACCCTTAAATCAAGAGGCATTAAAGTATTACTTTCTGCATGGCGTGAATGAGTGTATATGTGTGAGAGAGAGAGAGAGGGAGAGAGAGAGAGGGAGAGAGAGAGAGGGAGAGAGAGAGAGAGAGAGAGAGAGAGGGAGAGAGAGAGAGAGAGAGAGAGAGAGAGAGAGAGAGAGAGAGAGAGAGAGAGAGAGAGAGAGAGAGAGAGAGAGAGTGGGAGTGAGGGAGACAGAGAGAGTAGAAGTGAGAGAGAGTAGAAGTGAGAGAGAGTAAAAGTGAGAGAGACTAAAAGTGAGAGAGACTAAAAGTGAGAGAGAGTAAGAGTGAGTGAGTGTGTAAAAATAAATTGGGCACATTGTTATAGAACTGACTGAATAAAAGTGCAAATAAATAAGTCTGTGAAAATGACAAAGCATTTCCTTATCATAAAGGCATAGGAAATCCTCTCAAACTAGGTCATTGCATTTGTTAGCAAGCTTTTCTTTTACATATTTTGTAATCATTGAAAAGTAGGCCTACATGTATATCTGTAAATAAGCTGACACTTCATCTGATCTTTTTTTGCAATTGGCTTATATGCTCAGAATATTTGTCATAAGACTAGTTGTGTCATTATTAATCAGGCTACTATTGTTCATATATGAGACAATGTAAGTAAGCAGTTATACCTCCTTTAATAGATATGGAAATACGTAAAATAAACACAGGAAAACTTACATAGCCAAAGATCATGGGTCATCCTAGGCTAGGGCCACAGTATCACTCCAGCAGCCCTCATGGTGCCACTCTTGTTGTAACTCCCTTGTGCTG